TCTGTCTGTCTGTCTGTCTGTCTGTCTGTCTGTCTGTCTGTCTGTCCGTCCGTCCGTCCGTCCGTCCGTCCGTCCGTCCATCCATCCATCCATCCATCCATCCATCCGGTTTATGTGTATTATATTCACATTATGCTTCTTTTTTCAAATCTAGTGAAGACTTAAAAATGCTAAACATATGGACCTACGTACTAGGGTTGGGCAATATTGGCAAAAAATTACTTATGATTAATTGGGGGTATTTAGCCGATATCAATTAATTTATTAATGATTAATTAATAATTAATGGAGTCCCTGGTCACCCTTATGTCCTAGTCACATGACCAATTTAGTGGGAAAGAGTTTCTCTTTGTAAAAATCTGTTCCACATGGTGTCAAAATTACAGACTTCAGGCTGTACATCAGATTTTAAATTGAGTTGATAGATAAATAAATTACTGAACGTTTTTTAAAATGTTCGTCATCTTTGAAACGGAGAGGATCAGCGAGTGGACTCTGCCTGGTGGCATTAATCGTATTAATCGTCAAATGCCAAAAAAGAATCGATTAATGTTTTTCTGACAATTAATTGCACACGATACGATTACGCCCAACCCTACTACGTATAATCCCCACAGTTATAAACTATTTTCAGATCTATAATCTGAGATGAAATAATAAACTCTGTGTTGTTGTTGGTCACGTTTTGAACTATACTCTATAAAGACATCATTATGTTGCTCTCTTGCATCACAGTTCTTTTGCACAGAGACAATAAAAAGACAAACAAGACATAAAGTTACTATATTTTAATTTGTTGTGTAGTGAAAACCCTCATTAAAAATCATAAATGTGATTTTAATTAAGAGTTTCCCTTCCTGGCTCGAAGATGGTACTGTTGAGGCAAAAATGAACCAATCAAACACAAACACAGAAACAGACAAAGTCATTCAGGTTTATTTTGGCCAGTTAAAGTTAACTGACTTTTATTAAAAGAGAGTAATAGTGAATGATTAATATTTGGTTACAACAATGAACAATAAAATGGGCTCTCACTAATAACGTTATTGTTTCTACTTTTAAGCAATTTGTCTAACAATTTACAGCGGGTAAAATAAGTATTGAATACGTCACCATTTTTCTCAGTAAATATATTACTAGAGGTGCTAATGACATGAAATTTTCACCAGATGTTGGTAACAACCCAAGTGATCCATACATACAAAGAAATCAAACCATAAATGTCCAGAAATGAAGTTATTTGTAATAATGTGGAATGGCACAGGGAAAAAGTATTGAACACACTTACTGAAATTTATCTAATACTTTGTACAAAAGCCTTTGTTGTCAATGACAGCTTCAAGACGCCTCCTGTATGGAGAAACTAGTGGCATGCATTGCTCAGGTGTGATTTTGGCCCATTCTTCCACACAAACAGTCTTTAAATCTTGAAGGTTTCGTGGACCTCTTCTATGAAYTCTGATCTTTAGTTCTTTCCATAGATTTTCTGTTGGATTCAGGTCAGGTGATTGGCTGGGCCATTTCAGCAGCTTTAGTTTCTTTCTCTGAAACCAATTGAGAGTTTCCTTGACTTTGTGTTTGGGCTCATTGTCTTGCTGAAATGTCCAGCCACGTTTCATCTTCATCATCCTGGTAGATGGAAGCAGATTTTTATCAAGAATGTCTCTGTACATTTTTCCACTCATCCTTCCTTCAATTATTTGAAGTTTGCCAGTACCATATGCTGAAAAACAGCCCCACAGCATGATGTTCCCACCTGCAAACTTCACTGTTGGTATGGTGTTTTTGGGCTGATGTGCAGTGCCATTTGACCTCCAAACATGATGTGTATTCTGGCRTCCAAACAGTTCAATGTTGGTCTCATCTGACCAGACTATATTCTCCCAGTATTACACAGGCTTGTCTAAATGTTGTGCAGCAAACTTTAAAGGAGCTTCAACATGCTGTTTCTTCAGCAGTGGAGTCTTGCGTGGTGAGCGTGCATACAGGCCATGGTGGTTCAGTGCATTACTTATTGTTTTCTTTGAAACAAACGTACCTGCTAATTCCAGGTCTTTCTGAAGCTCTCCACAAGTGGTCCTTGGCTCTTGGACAACTCTTCTGATAATTMTTTTCACTCCTCTGTCAGAAATCTTGTGAGAGCACCTGGTGGTGGTCGGTTTATGGTGAAATAATGTTCTTTCCACTTCTGAATTATGGCCCCAACAGTGCTCACTGGAACCTTCAGAAGTTTAGACATTCTTCTGTAACCGATGCCATCATTATGCTTTGCAACAATAAGGTTGTGAAGGTCTTGAGAGAGCTCTTTACTTTTACCCATCATCAGATGGTTCTTGTGTGATACCTGGTCAACATTTGGGACTGAACCAGCTGATATTAACTTGCACTGACAAGGGGCAGGCTTGCTTTCTAATTACTGAGAGAGTTCAGCTGGTGTCTTGGCTTTCCATGCCTTTTTACACCTCCCTTTCTTCATGTGTTCAATACTTTTTCCCTGTGCCATTCCACATTATTACAAATAACTTCATTTCTGGACATTTATGGTTTGATTTCTTTATATGTATGGATCACTTGGGTTGTTACTGACATCTGGTGAAAATTTCATGTCATTAGCACCTCTAGTAATATATTTACTGAGAAAAATGTTGACGTGTTCAACAACACACAAACATTTTATGAGCAGAGCAACTCATCTCCTCAAAGAACATTAGACTAATATTTCAATTGTCTAATGATTAATTATGAACTATTATTAGTAAATTAATAATCACTGTTAAACTTATAAAATGATTAAGTAATGTTTATTAAAGACAGAAGATGTAAAAAGATAAAAAATAAGCATTGATTGAAACATATTCTGTTAATACTAAATCATCATTTCTAAACACTTTCTAAACATCATAACAACAAATGCAAAGTTATAAAATGACTATTACTAAAGAGCCCTTGAAAAATTAAAGACAAATTCAACACAGTTTAAGGGGGTTTAAGCATTTGAATTATACATGTTTAAAAGAACAGCAATAGAGACAAAATGTTTATTTTGACTTGTTTTATCAGCAAAATAAATCTCCTGAGAACAAGATCCTTTCCCAAGGGAAAGGAAAGAGTGAAAGGCTTATTTTTTATAGCTCTCCATGAGAGCTGGAAGAGTTCAGGCTAGGAGGAGAGGGCTTTGACCTCAGGGGGTCAAAGGTCAATCAGTGGCAGGATGAGGTGAGGTGAAATGGGCGTTACCACTACAGTTGTTTTCTTAGTGACAAACAATATGATAAATTTAACAAATAATAATTGTGTAAGAACTCAGTTTGGTTGTAATAGAAGTAGCTTTCAGGAAACAAATAAAAAATCTCAACTGCATCCTATTTTGTACAATTTATCAGTGCTTTCATCTGTCACAAAAGCACTGTTTACTCCCATTTTTAAGCATTTCAGTGTAAAAAAAACCCCAGAAACAAAACACAACCACATAACTGGCATAAAGTATTTAGTACGTTGAAGATGCAGGAGCTGTCACTCAAAAACCTGGCTTACAAAATCATTTTTAAGCATTAAAACGATTTTGCAGTAATGCCTGGTTTGAGCTCAAATGTTTTAATTAAAGTCACACTTAGACATCACTTCCACATGGTAAAATTTGTCTGGCTCAGTTCTGGTCCACACAAAGCTCTAACACTGGGCCCAGATGTGGTTTGTCAGAGGTGGTTCCTTCATGGGCCGGCCCCACATAAAACAAACCACAACAGGGCCAGTTGTGGAATGCCATGATGACATATAACGTGCCATTATTGCCAGATCTGGCCCACACCTGTCAGCTATTTGGGTTATAGACATAGTAAAAAAAAAGAGCTACGAGAAGGAATTTTTGCAAATTAAATATTTTTTATGCAGAAATGATCATGGTTTCAGCATTTCTTGATTTGGAAGGCATGTAAGGCGATATTTAAACATGAAAAACATGAAGTGATGACAGCGGTGCAGAAACACATTGTTCAACACTAGATGGCAGAATAGATTCATCTGTTCTGTACAGTTGCAGATTTGCAATAAAAACACAAAATGTAAAGATACGCAGGTAAAGTACAACAGAACTATAAAATATGAGTCAGTTTGTTTAACTAACTATTTTTTATTCATTTGCTCAGAATAAGATCAATTACAGTGGTGTACATTTTGATCCATGGTGTAGAAAGTCTTTAAATTAACTTTGTGCTAAATTCAGTGATACTTTTACAAGTTGCCATATGTTTCTTTCGAATAAAAAAACCAACAACATTGAAAAAGTATTAACATTTTACCTGAGTAACATCTTCAGGTAAAATGAAATGTGGTTTCAGCTGTTATTCTTTTAATTTTAGTTAAATATATATGAACAAAGTGTCCTCACAACACTGCACATTAAGACATTCAGTAAATATTTTATTAAAAAAACCTTAAACAACTGATACTATATGTGTGTATCAC